TAAATTTTAGGTTCTCAGAAAGATTTTTAATGTTCTCAAAAGTTTTTAGATATAATACAATTTACAAATTTTATGTTTTCAAATGAGAATATAATTTTTAAAATTTGTATTCTCAAAAATATTTAATTGTTCTTGAGAACACTGAGAATATTAGATATCTAACACTGATTATCATATACTTTATATTTTAAAGTCTAAAATTAAAATTCTCAGTATAGTATTAGAGATTCGGGTTTCGGGATTTTATATATGGTTTTGGGTTTGGGCCACAACTTTAAATGTGAACTAATTTCAGCCATTACAGATTAGATCCATCCATAACAATAAAAATAACAAAATCCATATTTAGTTAATGAATCCTGAAAGACAATAATAAAAAACAACCGCATTTTATAAATAATCATCATATACTTTAAACGAGACAAAACCTGTTAAAGAGTCATTTGAATGGTTCATACAAGATATAAATATGGTGTATGTAATGCATAAGTGCGGAAAACACATAATTGGACTACCTACTTTGTATTATGTATCACTCTGTGTCTGGTAAGATATGATTAGCCACAGTTAACTAAGCTAATAAAAATTATTAAATTAATTTGGCTAAACCATTTTTGTATATCTTAAATTATATAATTCTTGCTGTGAATTTATTTTAAAATTAATTGTACTGTCATTTAGCATTATAGTTACATAGTTTAGTTAATCTTATTCGATATATTGTATAATTCTAAAATATCAACAGCACCTTCTTCTCATAATGTATAAAACAAATTATTTATATCAAATTATAATTACAGAATTGCCTTTTACATATTGGTATTGGTAAAAGGCTAATTAGTAGTACTCTGTATAAAAATAAGATAATCTTATTGTATATAATTGGTTGAATTGCTGTATATCAATTAGAAGTCTATTGTAAATCATATTACGTATCTGGTTAGTAATAATGCATTAAACATGTATAATCAAATAGGTTGTTTAAAGTAAATGATGCAAATGATATATAATAGAAAATTATATAATATGTACATACTTATATGCAATCTCTTTTTCCACAATAAAACAAATACTGTAGTAAAGTGGAGTGCAAATCTTGTTAAATAGTGCGAACTGTAATTGAATATGTAATGTAAAAGTATGAAAAAAGATATTATTAGTAAAAGATGCAAATGATAATTTCAAATAAGAAATATAAAGAAGCTTACTAATACTGTGTATAGTTGCTAAATAATTAAAAGTACATGTTAAAATGTAAGTAAAAAAGTTTATTTGCTAATTTATATAACAATTAGTTTCTTGAAATATAAAAACTAATTAGTAAAAATATCTTTACAAACTTATAGTATATGCTGTGTACTAGAGATCTTTTGATAATATATCTATATGCCAAAAAAAAAAATTAAGAAAATTTAATTTTATATATTATACAAATTTAAATAAGACAATAATAGCTACAGTAAAATAATGAATCTTGCGAAATGCAGTTATAAAGATTAAAGGCTCTATTGAAATTAGAATAAAAACATAATAAATTAAAGCAAACACACTAGGAATAGTTAGAATATTGAATTTGAGTAAATACTTAACCTTATATAGTAATTAATTGTTTTCTAAAAAAAAATAATTATATCTTGTTCCCAAAATCGTGAATTATGACATTCTTAATTCATACTAATTATTAAACAAAAAAGTTTATTATTATATAATATAAAGAATCTTATTAAGAATTTTCTTATGCTAAAAAAGAAATTGATTTAAGCCTATCTATTGATATTGTTTAATCTTATTACAAGATGTCCACAACAGAGTCTATTAAAAAGTGAAAGAAAAGAACTGCTATTACTTTAGAAAATTAGGCTGAGATTATTAGAAAAAAGGAAGAAAATACAAAGTTAAGTTATCAGAATTTGGCTAAACAATATAATATTGATAGAACTACAATTAGTAATATTTTACGAAATAAAGATAAATATCTTTAGTCATATAATACTGCATCTTCTCATATGCAACAACATGTTCATTTACAAAATAGACAGTTTTAAATAATTGATGAAGCTGTATATAAGTTGTTTTAGAACTTCATTCTCAAAATATTTTTGTTTTTCAAGATATGCTTAAAACAAAAGCTCGTTCAATATATGAACAATTAAAAGATGGAGGTGTAGTATTTCCAACTATATTTGTAGCATCTAATAGTTGGGTATTTGGATTTTAGCAATAATTTGATATTAGCTCAAAGACTATATCAGGAGAAAGCCAATCTGCTAATCAAGTTGCAATTGAAAATAGACAAAATAAGTTTCAAGAATTACTTAAAGATTATTATCCTGATAACATTCTTAATGCAGATAAGACAGGCCTTTTTTTTTTGCCTTGGACCAGATAAAACACTTGCATCAAAAAGTGATACTGCTAAAGGATTTTAAAAGGACAAGTCATGCCTTACTGTACTTCTTTGTTTTAATGCATCAAAAACACGAAAATTTAAACTATTTGTAATTGGTAAAAGTGCACATTCACTGTGTATGAAATATACCAATATGTCAAAATTACCTGTACACTATTCTAATAATTAAACAGCATAGATGACAGTAGTTAAATATGAAAATTGGTTAAAATGGTTGGATAGTCAAGTTAATCAGCCAACAGTTCTTTTAGCTGATAATTGCCACACTTATTCAAGTCCTAGATTAAAAAATATTAAATTAAAATTTTTGCCACCCAATACTACGTCAGTTATTCAACCATGTGATGCTAGCAATATTAAAAATTTTAAAGCTAATTATCGTAAGTTACTAGTAACAAAATGGATAGATAATATTGAAAATGAAAAATCTATTGTGCCAATTAATATTAAAGAAGCTATTTATTTTATTTCTGATGTATGAAAACAAATCTTGCCTCGCCGATTATCCATTGTTAGAAAAAAACAAAAATTCTTCTATTAGAAATGAATTTAGCTACTAATGTCGATGAAAATAATAATATATATGAGCTTGATTAATTATTAGAAGAATTAGAAGTGTTTTATAATTATATTTAATTGTCGGCAAAAGAATACATAAATGTATATGAAAATATGCAAACAAAGAAAACACCAACCGAAGAGTCTATTATTAGAGATATTCTCAAAGAGCTAGGTTTGATTGATATTGAAAATTCAGATTATGAGAATGACAAAGATGAAGAAGATGAAGAATTTATTGATGATTTGGTTCCATATAATGAAGGGAAAAAAGCATTAGAAATTGCAAAGAAATATCTTGAGCAATCACAATTTGCTACTGAAAATGATATTGATTTGTTATGACAAATTACCAAAAAAGCAGAAAGCTTTTATCAATCTAATAATAAACAAATAACCATTAACAAATATTTTACAAATTAGCAGAATTAATTGTTTAATTTATTTTTTTTATATATATTAAAATTGATTATGAAATATAAATAAAGATATCATATAAATATTTGCTATTTAACTAAATATTTCCTTTAGTATTGACAATAAAGAATAATAAACTAATACAAAATAAACTACGGTATTTTAAACCAACTCTTATATATATATATTATAATTATTTAATTAATCAGTGCTATTTTTTTATTAATAGGCAATCTACCAGTTACCTGGATAAAAATTTTTTTTTATATATAAATTTTACTATAAGTACGAATACATAGCACTTCTATCTAAAACTTTTTTTATACTAAGTAAATCACTCTTTGGCTTCTAACAAAAGTTGTAAAGCTCATAAAAATGTATTTAAT